AGGCTAGGATGAAGTTATCGTCCTGTCCAGCGAGGAGCTCGGGGACGACGGGGGAGGTGTCTGAGTCCGGGATCGCAATGGAGTTGATCAAGGCTGGGAACAGTAGCGGGAGGAGGAGGAGGTGCATTTTGGAATCTGGCAGTGGTGGTGGTGAGGGAGAGCAAAAACTTCACGAACTGAAGATTGAGGAGCAAAAGCCTGGATGATCAGGAGCAAAAGCCTGGATGATCAGGTGCAAAATCGTAGTGGAAGGAGGAGTAGTGGGGAGTGTGAAGGGTGATGGGAGTATGGACAGAGAGACAGTGGGAGAGAGAGAGACGAGAGAAGGGCCAGGCTACTCTGATATGTAAACCTGCAGGCGGCCGCTTTTGGGTATTTCCCACTAAGCTCGCCCATCTGTCAGCCTTTCTCTATGGCACTCGTAACCCACCTGTCAACACAAGTCGGGCTCGAACTGCTATGTTCAGTAGCATTTCTTCAGAGTCTCAGCTTCCAGTGAGAAGAGCCTACTATAGAGCTGTTGATGGAAAGCATTTACCACGCCGCGAGTGCCCTCGCAGTGAAACGAACGTTTTTTCTGCGGACCTTTACTTCTGCATGAGCGGTAAGTGGTGAAGAAAGTTACGTCGTCACAGCCTGGCGAACTCAAAAGCCAGGACAAGTAATGTGGGAAAAGTGAATTACCTAGGACACGCAATGACCATTCGCAATGGACATTCGCAATGAATATCGCAACGGTTATGCGCAATGAGGGAAGGGAAGAGCTCGGGATTTTGGGAGGGTAGCTGTCGTCCAATAGTACATCATTTCTTGTTTTTCTCGTCGTATATAAACTGTCCACCTATGTTGTCCGCTCTTTTTGTTTCTCAACCAAGTACTCGGTCAATTCAATCTCTTGTTTCCTTCTCTCTCTCCACATCCCGTCCGTACGATCATACTTCCGCACCGCCCATCGACAAGTGGCGTGTTGGTACATACCTACGTCGTGGCGGAGAAGGGGAGGGAGGAAGGGATGGAGCGTTATACGGTTATGGTCGAAGTTAAGCATGGTGGGTCACTCGGTCATCACTTTGATGCTGTAACTTGTGTCACCTTCGATTCGGCAAGGGCATGCGACAATAAATTGATGTTCTCTCTCTCTCTCTCTCTCTTGATTCGGCAAGGCAGACCGTCCCATCCTTATTGGTGCCTACGGTTGTGTTTCATTCCGCACATGTGGAGCGTAGCTAGGAATCGATTTGGCTGGTTCACCCCGAGTAGGCAGTAGGTACATATCTTACGAAAGAAAACCTCCACGGCAACTATATACAGTTTTGCAGCACCGAGCCGTGTGCAAGAAGCTCTTTCAACCGCCTGCACCTAAACAACTCCCCATACCTAGTTTGAAGAAGCCCTGGAATGGACTTCTCTGATGATCAAAGGGTTAGTTGGAGGCATGTGTAGACGGATCCAGGTGGGTGCCGTTCAGTTCATCGTAACTGCGAATTCCATCGTCCAAGACACCAGTTTCACTGCAGACGATCGCCTGATTGCTTGAAGCTTCGGCCGCACCTGGACTAAACAACGCGTGGCCCTATGATGAACTTTGAAGTGACATTCGGTGAGAAGAACGGCTTTAGCTGCCTTCTCCCTAGGAAATACAACAAGAGGAAAGCTTCTTCTCGTCTTCTCTGCGTCCCTTCGCTGCATAGCAGCCCAGTTCTCGACGGTTGTCCTAAACCTTCGCGATGCTTGTGTACCGTAACGGTCCGGCAGTAGCTTTCTGTCCGTCCAATGCCGATTCCGCCCCCAGCTCCGTCCCGAACCGTCGCCGTGAAGTCTTCGCCCCTCGGCATTCAGACCGACGTGCGCAGGAGCTTCGTTCTCCTCACGGTCGTCCTGAATGGAACTTTTGTTATCGCATACGGCCTTGCTCAACTATGGCAACCACAAACCCGACCTTTCCTGCCATCATGGAAGGTGATGTGTGCGGTCAAGTTCACGTCATCGACTAGCAACATCAAGGAGTGAGTATCTAATCGAATCAGATCATCTTATCTACCATCTACAGTCAATCAAATCAATCGCAGCCGTGCGATTTAGATGATCCGATAACCACGGGTGGCTACGAACAACAGAACGCAACACGCGTACGCCGTACGGCAACCAACTATCCATCCATCCGTTATCCAGACCATGGCGAGAACCTGGAGTCTGGAGAAAAGAACAGGTATCCTCCTTGTCCGTCCGTACTCATACCCAGTAGAGTACTAATAGTTGCGACGCATATGTAGATCGCCATCGATGCTTCCCAAGTTCCCAAGCTGTCCCAAGTTCCCATCCATCCTTCCATCCATACATCATACATCACACAAGCAAGAAGGAGTTACGAAACAGGGCTGACGTCTTACCCCCGTCCCCTCCCTGAGCCACCCTTCCACCCTCCCCGCCCTGCCCCCGGTCCGTCCGGCCCCCACGAAAGAGAGAACGGGGGTTTCACATCTCGCCCCACAACAAAACGAACCGGGCCGAAACGAACGAAGCGAAACGGGAAGCCCGTGAATGGAAAGCCACAGAGAAAGAAAGAATTGGAGGCTCGGAGCCGCAACTTGCTTGTCAAAATTTGAGATTCGTCCTTGCATCGGACGGCCGATGTACGCATGCTAACAGCCGCACCGGCGCATCGTCATCCTGCAGTGCGTACAGGAGTCGCCGTCGTCGTGACAGTCCGCTAACTACCTAGAGTACTGTACTATGGAGTGGAGTGGGGTGGAGTACATATCATACCATAGCTAAGGCAGGGCAACCGAAGACTGGCTCGTAGTTGCTATTCTCTAGCGAGTGAGGCAGAGGGAGGAGGGAGAAGTTCATTTCCGCACCTACATACGTCTGCTGGAGCAGTTATGTTATGTAGAGTAGTTGCATAGAAGGACCAGGAGGATCTGCTAGTGAAGTTTGTTCGGGGAATCAGGGGGAAGGGGGGAGATTATTCTTGGGGGGCGGGTTGGAGTCAAAGCGGTCGCTTTATTCCAGCAGCCTCCGTCGCAACTCAACTCAACTCACGAGCCGTTCGCTGTTCTGTTGGAGATGGCTGGTAGTTTATGTAAGTAGAGTGAGTACTGGTATGATACTTGTGTGATGTGCGTAGAGATGTGCAGAGAGAGGAACGAGTAGAGGAGGTATCCATCGTTGGTTATGGGTGGTGATGGGCACATGCGGGATTTTGGAGAGGTTGGGCTGGGCTGGGACTCTGGCAGCGGCAAGCCAGTCCTGCAGAGCTGCAGAGAAGGATGGATGGATGGACGGACCAACGCCCAACGAAGGGAATGGCCAGCCAAGTCCAACTTCACCCTAGAACGCGAATCTGGCGATTCTGGCGAACGAGGAAACAGGAAGGAGCAGGAGGGAGTTCTAACTTCTCAGTCAACTTGGGAGAAGCAAAGAGGCTTCGTTTTTTCTCTCTCTTTCTTTCTTTCGGCTGGGGAATTCCGGTTCAGGAGAGTGTGGATGGCTGCTCTGGATTTTATCTGACAACACATCACCAACCACCACCTCCACTTCCTCCACTTCCTCCACCACACCCTTCTTCTTGTTCTCACCCTTCTGTCGTGCTTCTCTGCAGAATTTTGTTTTGTTTCCTCCCCTCGATCCTCCGACTGACGACGTTTCCTCAACAAACAAAGCGCCATAATAAGAAATAATAATAGTAATACTGATCCACACCACCACCTCACTGAACACTTCTCTACTATCGACGTCGAACAGCATTCCATTTCTTCCCGAAACACGGAGAGAAAGGGAAGAAGCGGAACATCATATTTATCGGAAGCAGCAGCGCCACAGAGTCGCTTCCTAGACAAACAAGGGAACGGACGTGCAGAAACAGCAGGAAAACAAAAACAAAAAGACCGAAGGAGAAAAGAAGAACATGTTGCAGATACTCTCGTAGCATCTCCGATAGAGTTACTCCGTCTCCGTACCGTATTCGATCGCAGTTATTCTTTTCCAAAACACCCTCCGATCTCTCTCCTTCTCCTCTTCCACCCTCTTCTCCGCCTCGCGAGTCGCGCTCCTCCTCTTCTAAAACAAAACAACTCACAAGATCAACACAACCCACACCTCAAAAAAAAAAAACCATTGACATCAACACGTTCCGGTGCCCACGTAACCCACACCCATCCCACTCCCATCCACATCCCTCCCTTCCTCCAACTCCCCCCCTCCCCCTAGTTTCCGCCCAATCCGCTCCTCGAAACCTCCATCCAGCGCCAGCATCGAACCAACCAACTCCTCTCGCGCCCAACCTCCCTCTCCATCCTCCATCCAACCCTCTCTCACCACCACCTTCTTGCTCAGCGCATCCCATTCTCAATCATAGTACTCGACGAACCCACGATCCCTAGTCCAGCCCAGCTGCTTACTCCCGCCTACTGCGCGACCCTACCAAAAACCCCGTCGACCGGTAAACTCAACTGTACTGAGACCGTACTCTAGAGCAAACTAGTAGGAGGCAACTTTACCCCTACGAGTGGAAAGTCGCCCTACCCACACTCTCCCTACATACGAACGCACGTACCGACCCCCCCAACATCCCTATCATGAGCGAGGAGGAAAACACACGCGGCCGGATCTCGGACCCAAGGCCAACTCCCTTAACAACAATCAACACAACCTCGACGAACGGAGTCAGAACGCGAAAGCCGTCGCCGTCCCTCGCCGCAAGAATCAAGATGCTCGAAGCCGACGCCGAGAAACGGAACTACCACAGCAGACTCTCGCCCAGCCCATCGCCGCACCGCCGCCATCGCTCGCGCTCCAGGGGCTCGGATGCCTCGGGCGTGTCGTCCGCCATCGAAGTGCCGACGAGTATCCCGACCTCCAATCTCGACGTCCGATCGATGCCGCCGGCCAAAGACCTGCCGCCCACTCCCATTGAAGACGAACGTGGCGGAGATCATCCGCTGTTGGACGATGCGGTTGCAGCTGCAGCATGCGGAGTGGGTGCTGGTGGTGGTGGTGGTATTTGTGGCGCCAATGAGGGGTTCGCAACGCAGCAACAGCCACTGACAACGCCTACTACTCCTCCGGCCGACACGTCAGTCGCGTTTCCGGGTCTCGAGGATGATGATATTAATGTGTATATGTCTGGCGGCGGCGGCGGGTCGTGGGGAGGAGAAGGCCTGAAGCGTCGTTCGAGTGTGCATTCGCTTTCGAGGATCTCTTTTTCCGCCCAACTCAGCCGACTTACGAGCTTATCACTACCGTTGAGTGAGGATCTCAAGGACCGTATCTGCAAGCTGGCTACCTCGGCAGACATGTGTGACGCGCTCATGAGCGCGGGGAGCCAGATCGGCCGATGGATCGATACCGCGAAAAAGGTACTGACGGGTCTCGACGCCGAGGATGATGTCGAATGGGCAGCTCAGGGACGGGAATCGCTCAACGAGGTCGATATCGCCGTACGGAAGTTTTCGGGTCTCATCAACGTCTACGTCGAGCTTATCGATGAGCTACAACGTCGGCCCGATAGCGATGAACTCGACTCTCAGACCCTTGTGGATCTCGTCAGCACCACCGAGGCCACCGTCGACGGATGGCGATCGATCGAGGAACTGCTCAAGGGCGTTAAGGACCAGGTGGAGACCGCCATGGAGTGGACCGAGTTGTGGACGACCATACTTCAGGACATACAAGCCGAACTGGATGCGTGCCAGACTTTGGTGTTCGAGCTCGAGGAGAAGCGACATCGGTCGATGATGGGTGAGAACGGGGCGCCAGCAGCAGGAGGGTCGGTGGATATCGACACGCTGGAGACCATCATGGAGGAGAACCCCGGAATGTTCCCCGTAGCCAACGGCAAGACGGCCACAGAGATCGAGGACAGCTCGCTGCTCGGCCTGTTCGCCAGGATGCAGCCGTTGCGCGCCAGCTTGGACTTTCTACCCATGAGACTGCAGAGCTTCCAGTCGAGGGCACAGGATATCTTCCCCACGGCATGCGACGAGCTGGAATCGAGGCGGAAGCAGTTGGAACGGAAGTGGAAGAAGCTGAACGGCGACGCCGATAGCCTTAAGAAGGAATTGGGCGAGGATAGGTGGGTCGCCATCTTCCGCAATGCTGGCAAGCAGGCGACACAGATGCTCGATTCGATAGACAGGAGCATGCACAAACTCAAGGAATCGGTGATTGCGTGGGAAGAGAGCGGTGGTCGGGCCGAGCGGGATCTTCAGAAGAAGATGGAAAACTACGAGGCGAAGAAGATGCATTACGGTTCGTTGGCGCGCGCGCGGCTCTGAGCTTTTTCGCGACCGCAGGAATTTTTTCTGACGGTGCGTTTTTCTTATAGGAAGTGCAATCCAACGGACGTTCTCGATCATCGGCAAGGGAATCAATGATCGATTTACCGTCAACGGCGAGATCATCCGACTCGATGCGTCGCTGCGGATGCGCTGGCGATACCTCGAGGACCAGATGGGAGAGCTCGATCAGACGCTCTTGGACCTACAATTGGACACGCAAGCGTTGCGCGACTCCATCTCCTCGCTTGCGTCCCTCGATATCACTTCGGGCAGAAACACCCCCGGTAGCTCTCCGGCAAGTTCGGTCCAGCTCAATCCTTCAAAACCTCGAGGCCAAGAACGCAAACGGTCTCCCGCTCCGATACGACGTCCCGGGAGCTCTATCGGTGGAAGCCCTGCTAGGCGCAGTGGCCGCCACTCGTCCGCCTCGTCTACGCCACCAACATCGCCGTGGGGAAATTCAAATCCCTACTCCTCAATGTCGATGGGCCGCTCCATCTCGAGTCCCAGCGCTGCTGGCTCATACGCTTCGTATGCGTCGTACGCCTCGTCTCGTACGTCCGACATCAAACCGTCGCGACCTCGGTGGAACGTGAGCAACAAAGTGGAGGACGGCTCGATCGGCCACAACTTCAAGCCGCTGACGCTCACGACACCCTCTCCGTACCGCAAGGTGGCACCTCCTACGGCCGCCAGCCGTCGCAACTCGTCGTCGCTCGGATCACGAATCCCGATGCCGAGCCCACTCAGTCAGGAAAACACGCCATCGCCTGGGTCGCCCAGTCACCTCCGCAACGGCCTCTACTCCCCGGCATCGAGCAGACGCACCAACGGCTACCTCGTCTCACCGAGCCCGACCACTAGACCCCGCCTACGACACCAAGCTAGCTCCGGCAGACTTCGCCAGGGAACGCCCACGCCGTTCGATTCGAACGACCACCACCACCCTAGCACGCCGGGAAGTCCAAGCATAAATGTGCGTCCCGCTAGCGCCATGGCTAGCGGTCGTCTCAGCAGTGCCAGCGGCCGCAGGAGCAGCATGTTGCCGAGACCAACGTCACCCGGGAGCAAGAGGATGAGCCTGCCGTTCGGAGCGATCATGGGACCGGATGGGAAGCCGAGGTGGAGACATTAATTCAGTGAAAGCTTTTTTATTCTTTTTCATTTTTTTTCTTTTCGATATATTCCTTTTCTGCGATACCATTTCACGGGGTTTTTGTATTTTTTCTTTTTTATGCTGTTCCACTCCGTTTTTTTTTTACCGGAAGACCAAACTCATTTTTTCTTGTAACATTAACTTTTTTTTTCTCTCCCCCCTCCTATCTAACTATAGCTGGCTTCGGGTGTGGCGGGGGAGTTTCATCTCCATCTTTTTAACTATTTGCTTTCTAGGGATTCATGTTTTTTTTTTGCTTGCTTGCTTGCTTGCTTGCTTGTGAGGATGGCGGGCGGTGCGGGTGCGGGGCGGGGCAAGGCGGCGGGGTGGTGAATGGCGTTGGCAATATTTTCAGTTTTGCGTTTTCTTGCCTGTTGTTTTTGATATCGCATATCCTTCTTACTTCTTTCTTCTTTCTTCTTTCTTCTTTCTTCTTTCTTCTTTCTTCTTTCTTCTTTCTTCTTTCTTCTTCTTTCTTCTTCTTCTTCTACCTTGGTTCTGATATGAAACCTCAAACCTGAAACCCCCCTGTATGTGTGTGCGTTTACTTCTTTTTATTGGGTTGGGATTGGTGGAACGAGGGGGGGCTTTGTTTGCGGGATTGAATGGGATGGAGGGATACTCGGGATGAAAGGGAACGCTGGGAGGACTTGGGAGGATGTTTGTGCTTTCTGCTTTTCCGAAAAGGGAGAGGTGTGTAGATAGGAGGATCTGATCTATGGCTACGGTTTACCATGGTTTATAAGAGTTATGGATGATTGCGAATCGGGAATCGGAAATCGGGATGAGTGATGGGTTTATAGTATCATAGGCAACTTGGGCACTTACTTGGGCACTTGTTTTTATGGATGGGGAATGTTGGATCATATTTTATACAGCCATGGTTAATTGCATACAAACGCTGTCTGATTAATGTTTCGTGATTCAAAGTCAACCGTCATTCTCTCGTTTCCAAGCACAAGACTCTCGAGACATGTACAAGATCTACAAGATGTATCGCCAGCCACCGGTTGGATAGGTTCCACGATAACTGGAATAAACCAGACTATCCACGAATATCCTCCGCCACCGCCGCCGCAGTTCGTGCGTGGTTCGCACGGGGATCGTACGAGGATCGTACATACGGGTATCCTGACTATTCGACGATTGATGAGTTCCGGCTCTCCTTGGATGGGGAGACTTGGGCTTGGGCTTGGGCTTAGGCTTGGACTTGGACTTGGAATATCCAACATCGACTGTTGCTGTTGCTGTTGTTGTTGCTATTGCTATTGCTATTGCTATTGCTATTGCTATTGCTGTTGCTAGTGCTGTTGCTAGTGCTGTTGCTATGTTTCTGTTTCTGTTTCTGTTCGACGGCCGTTGAGTATACTATACATACCAACCTAGGTACCTACTATGGCTATGATAAAGTCCGCTAGATATACTACGTCGCCGTGGTGTGAAGGTTTGGATATTTGGTACCTTCTCGTTGGCAACGACCTCACCTCACCGAGTGATTATCTAACGATGCTCTACCAAAGTGACGAGTGACGACTCATTCACACCAAAAACGACAGAACTACAAAGTACACAAAACAGCAGACAAAACTCCCCAAGAAAGACACAAAAGGAGAACCCCACCCCAAGAAAAACAGATACTAAGGTAACGCGACCCGTCAGCCGTCCCGGAACACCAAACTCGTACAGAACACACAAAGAAAGAAAGCACGCTCGCAGGCAGAGACAAAAGTTGGCCAAGTAACTACTAGGTAACTAACTATGTGGTAGATAGTCCGCTGAAATCAAGCGCAAAAACACCAGAATCAGAATCAGTAGTATCCACCGCCCACCGCCCCTCCGTACGCCCTCAGTTCTCATCATCATCATCCTCAGAATCGACCACCGTGCGTCCCATGGGTCCCATTCTAGAGTCCTTCTTGCGCTTCAATAGCGGTTGCTGGAGGGTGGTGGGGGTGGGATCATTGACCGAGCTCCACGTCCTATCCGCCGCCTTGCCCTTTCCCTTGTCATTCTCCTTCTTGGTGGCTGCGCCTTCCGCAACCTCATCGTCATCATCATCAGAGAGCACGACGACGCGCCTCGCCGTCGAGGCCGCCGAGGCCGCCGAGTTGCGCTTGGGTTTCTTCTGCTTCTTCCTAGCGATCCTCTCGTTCCTGGCGATCCTCTCTTCCCTAGCGATCCTCTCTTCGTCGGAGCCGACAGCACCTGCTATGGACCGCCGGCTAATCGCGGCTAGGTCGTAGCTACCGGGGCTGATGGCGCTGGCGCGGCGAGTACTACGGTTGAGGCGGGCGGTGGGCGTGGCTTTGGGCGCGGAACGCGGGGCCGTGGTAGGTGCTTTCGGGAAATGGATGGCGTTGTGGTCGGCTGCCTGGTGTTCTATGCCGGGGGTGCGAGCGGCGATGGGTGAACTGGAGGGGAGGCGCAGAGGAGACTCGTCGCCGGCCGGCTGCGCGGGCATCATGCGTGCGATGGGGGCTTGGAGGGCGGGGGATTGGTCTGGGTCTGGGTCCGAGACACGCAGGCGCTTGGTCGACGGGCTGGAGGCGCCGCCGTTGGTGTCGTTGGTGGACGTGCGAGGCGGCTTCTCCGTCGGTGTGGGCGTCTTCTGGAGTCTCATCCGCTTCTTCCCTTTACCCGTATGCGTCGCATTCTTGTCTGTGGGATTTGGTCCCGTCGCCTCGTCGCCGTTCATCCTCTTGGCCATCTCCAGCAGCGTCTCAAACACCTCCTTGCTGTCGACGTGAGCCACCGGCAGAAGCTGCGCATGGTTGAATCGTATTTGTCCATTATCGAACGCGGCTCTCACCTGACGCTCGGTGTAAAACTGGCCAAAGATGTTGCGGCACATTGCTTTTCCGGCGGAAGAGGTGAGTACATACGCGACCCATGCGTTCTTCTGCGCATCACTGAGACCGAGCCCATGACTTGCCCACTCGGCCACATCCCATTCGCCCCAACGGTATATACCGCAGTATGAGTACTTCTCCGAGTCCGGTTTCATTCGGCAGAATACCGGGAATGGAGCGTCAATGTCCACGTGTAGCTCCATGGCAGCTTCAAAATCCAAGAGATCGAGATTCTTACATGGACTCTGGGGCGAGGTGGGAAGGGCGACGCAGAGTGATGGGTCTAGGAGCAGCGCATAGGTCCAGGGGGAGGAGAATCTGTTTTTGATCTTTCCATTGGCCCGCGAAAAGGTCGCAATCGCTCCTGAGCGTCGACCGGAGCCGAAGGTTGCGCGGATGATTCGCTCGGTTACATTGAGGGATGGTGGAAGGGGAGAGGGAGAGCGCTGTGGAGAGGGGGGGAGGGAGCGGGAAGGCGTGATCGTACTGGAGGGCACTGAGGGTGTTAGCAGAGAACGTCTTACTAGAAGAATGGCCTTACCTGGTTCCGGTTCCGGTTCCGATTCTGAGAGTTGTTCTAGCTCCGGTCTGTTCGCCTGCGCTGTCCTCGCGTTCTGCATCCTCTCTGGCTCCTTTCCCTTCCCTTTCCCATTCGCCTTCACCGTCTTCCTGGTGCCATTCTTAGTCGCGGTGTCCATGTTTTCCATCAGCTGATTCAACTCAAACTCAGTCTCGTCATGCACATCCGCAACCTGGTCAGACTCCATCAACACGTCCTCATCCTCCTCCAGGACCCGCTCCTCAACAACCTCCTGCTTTCTCAGCGCATCTCGCTCCCCCCGCGCTGTCTTCGCCTTCAACTTGAGCCTATCAACATCCTTCGCCAGTGCTTTGATCGTCTTTTTGACCTGCTTCCTCAGCGCATCATGGTCAGCCACAAGTAGCTTTTGGTTAGCTTCCAACTGCTTCTGGTTTTCTTCCAGCCGGGCTTTTTCATTTTTCCATTCCTCCAGATCTTTGACCCGAGCGCGAAGGGCTGTAACTTCGGCGCGGAGCGAGAGTTCCGAGTCGGAGTCTAGAGGGATGGTTAGAGCGAGAGCGGGGGCGGTAGGGGTACGGAAATAGAGTTACCGCTGTCGCCAGAAGCGGGGGCAGAGTCAGAGCCCGACACGGACGCGGAGACTCGGCGCAACAGCGGCATCTTGCTTTCACTCTTGTCTTCTACTTTCGCAGTGGGCTAGAGAAACGTTGTTGCAATTGATGGTGCCCCACGATCACCAGTGGCAGGTGAGGGAGGGAGGGCGGAGTGATTGAGCGTTGAGATGAAGGGTGCAGCGAGGGTAGGGTTATTGCCCCAGTCATCCCTTGCCTTCTAAATATTGTTCGGGGGGTGACGTGAAAGGAACAGGGTCACGACTCAGACTCGCGAGCGCGTCTGGACGGCAGTAGTGGTAGCTACCTGTAGTCCCGTGACTACCCCGCACTAGGGAGCTCTTTGGTAACTATAGTACTATACCGTGGCAAAACACAGGTAGAAACTGACATCAAATTTACACCATGTCTACAAGGGATATATTTTTTTTCTTGCAGTTAGAGTAAACCTAGTACTAATCCTGTGCATATGAAGATTCCAATTTAATCAGATTCCGCATCTATTTTCGATACCACTTGCAAGAAGCTCTTTGTGGGTTCATATCTCGAGGGAAGGTAACCCGTGTCACGGTTCAGAAATCCTTGCCTTAAGTAGCTACTGGGATGATGGCCTTCAGCCATCCAAATACCTTTTGGTCGAGTGGTATAGTACTTTCCCAGTGTACTTTATTACAATAGTAACGGTTGATGATAACCAACAGCGATACCAATGTATTCCCATATGCCTGAGGTATGTTGCCTGCTTGCTGGGTGTAACAGTCCGGCCTTACTGGTGGACTAGTCCGTCCGACAGACACGTCCGCACGGACTGGATGTATGTAGTCCAGTCCAGTCCAAGGTTCAGGACGGACGGAGTGGACTATGGAGAACACTGGGCTGTGGCAAAGAAAATTTGGCCGGCGCCGCTGCCACTAAAGTTCGGTTCACGGTTCCGTTCACAAGCACAGAATTGCAAGCACAGAATTCACAGAACCTCCGTTTTTCGGTGCACCTGCGACCACCCACTAGCACCAGCTAGCCTGCTGTTTACCTCTGTTACGTTGACGTTGGCGAGCAGAAGATTTTACAGAACCTCCCTATTTGGGAGACATGACAACGTGCTCTCTGCACTACGTTGTTGTGCATACAAGGTAGTAGTACTGGTATGTCTCTGGTATTCCCAACACCACGTAAGATTTTGCGTCTGGAAGAACTGCAGTGGTTCTTCCCACTTTTTAGTATGCATATCTTAACAACCCTACGTAAAGACTTTTGATACTGTAGAGTTGGGACTACGGGAAGAAAGAAATCTCAAAATAAATCTGCAGT